ATATATTTATATACATTTACTTTTATAATAATACTAAAACGAATTTTAATTAGAATATGTGACATGGGTTATAAACCTGGATTAACTTATAATCTTCTAAAAGACTAATGGGTTATACACTTGAGACATATTGGAAAGTTTATGTGATTAGTTAGCTTAACATTTTACCAAAAAAAAAGTTTATGTAATTAGTTTTACTTTTCAAAATTCTTGGGAATGTTTTATAGATTATTTTTTTTTGTTCTCACATATGTGTTAGTTATTGTGTTAGATTATGGTAGATTAATTGTTTGGTTGATTAGAATTATCTTGTGACAAATTTGATAACTAACAAAACTTAATAATATCATACAAGTAAACACAACTAAAATGAATATTATGTTTAACGATTATGTATCCAAATAGTTATTTACTAATGAATATTTTATAATGATAAATTATTACAAAGCAATTTAGTAAAATTCTTTAGAGTTTTTTTGGTTATTCACAATCTTGATAGCTCAAATGAAGTCTACTAATGAAGTTTTCTAATGACATCCACTAATAATATCTACAAAAGAAGATAAAATATTGTTATTAAATTATCTTAATTATATAAAAAGATACGAGATAAAAAAAAAACTAAAATCATATTTTAGTAGACTTCATCTCTTAATTTTTTTAAAAAAAAAAAAAAAAATATATATATATATTTAAAGCCTATAGATCTAAATCTTACACTTTTGGGAGGGGAAATGAAATCATCAAAAAAAATATCTGTAAGATAGAGACATACTTATGAGAAAAAAACGTAAGACAAGAAAATTAAAATCATATTTTAGTATACTTCATAAGAAGTTTATTTAAATTTTATAGTTTAGTAGATTTTATTTGAAGTCTACTAGCCTTGATTTTTAAGTAACGAATAATTCTTAGATCTGAAAAATGTACATTTAGACATTTGAAAATAGTTCTAGTTTTGAAAAAGATTTCAAAAATATAAATATTAATCTGAAATAGTTGAAAATAAAAAATATAGAGTCTGAATCTATAAACTTATTTCTATATAAACACAAAAATACAAATTTAAATCTATAGATGTAAATATTATATTTTTGGGAGGATGATTTGAAAATTATGGAAGAAAATACATGTAAAATAAGATAAAATTATGAGAAAAAGATAAAAAATTTAAAATCATATATTAGTAGACTTTATTAGAAATATCTTATATTGGACAATTTTCAAATCTGAAAACTATGTATATTAATAAACATTAAAATAAATTTACATGTGAAAAAATAGAAAATATAATTTATAAGATAAAATAGTAGCAACGTAAACATATATATATATATATATATATATATTCAATCTGTGACTTTATTAAATATAAAGACACAATATATATTTTCAATCTATAGATGTAAATTTTATATTTTTGGATGAAGAGATGAAAACAATGGAAGAGACAACTTGGAAAATAAGATAAAATTATGAAGAAAAAAAACATATGATAACAAAATTTAAAGTCATATTTTGGTAGACTTCTAATGAAGACTGCTTTAATTCCATTGGAAGTATAATCTATTAAATCATTTTTAGATCTAAAAAATCTGTACATTTCGAAATGTGAAAATAGCTTTAAATCTGCAAAATATTTAAAATAAAGATTATTATATAAAATATTAGCAAAGTAAATGCACATAATTTAATTCTATAACTTTATTTGAATATCAACATACAAATACACATTTACAATCCATAGATATAAATCCTATATTTTAGATGGAAAGATGAAAAGCAGGAATGATAATACCTACAAAAACAATATGATATGAGAAAGTCATGAGAAAAATTAACAAATTAAAAAAAAAGTGTTTCTCCACATTCAAGATTTTAGAGAGAAATGAGAGAAGTTTACAGAGAAGAAAGAATTTTAGAAACATTTGCGGCAATTTTAGAGAGAGTGTGTGTAAAACTTCATTTAGATGGAAAGACAAAAAATTGTAACTAAGTTAAAATATACAACATAGTAGACTTCAAAAGAAGTCTACTCAAATTATATATATGATGTAGGCTTTGTTGTAAGTAGACTTTTGGAAATCTACAAATAATTTAATTATTATTTTTGTTCTTTATTTTTAAAAATTTTAGTATATAATCTCAAAATTTTAAAGATTATTTAGAAATTTACAATTTTAATATATTCATATAAAATTAAATTTAATAAAAATTATTTTGATTTTTTTAAATCCAAAATTAGTAGATTATAAAAGAAGTCTATTATACCAAAAAAATGAAGTATACTTTATTTTAAGTTTACTAGACCCTAAATCACAAATCTCAAACTCTAAATATCCAATTGATAACCAAAAAGTTTAATTAATCACTGTATCAAATATTAAAATATATAATTTTAAACTATTCAAAAATATGTAAATTTAATTCAGTACAACAAAAAAATGCAAATCTTAGATCTAACCCTAATAATCTAACTATGAAAGTAGTTACATATTTGAACATTTTGTTACGAGGAAATATATATTCTTTAATTTGTTCAGTTGTATTATATTTATTTTATATACCTCATATTAGCTCTTATATTGGTGATTTATAATAAATTTCACGCAAATTATTTTATACATTTTAAACTAAATTATTGGATTAAATGACGACGTAGGCTTCAGAATAAGTATATTGTATTGACTTTTTAGGAAATCTATACTTTATAGAGTTCTTTCTATTAACTATAAACTTGTGAATGAAAGAATTGTAAAATAATTGTCCGGTTTTTTTGTTGGGGTTAATAGTGATTTGCTATCTGTTTAGGTTAGTTTTTCATTTGGATTGAATATGAGGTCTATTTGGATTGAATATGAGGTCTACTTTTGTATTTCAAATAAACTTTTAGATTATATCTGGAAAAATCCCTCTAAATTCTTGTTATGTAAAATATAAATCTGTTAAATAATGTAGTATAAATTAAACTTACATCAATATTTTATATAAGATTAAAATTATGATATTTAGTTATATGAGAAATTGTTTAAATCTGTTAAATAATGCAGTATAAATTAAACTTACATCAATACTTTCTATAAGATTAAAATTATGATACGTAGTTATATGAAAAATAGAACAAAAATGGGAAAATTCTAAAAACATTTAATAAAAATTAAATTTAAAACATATATCAATTATATAGAAAAACAATATTTTATATTTTATATTTTTATTTGTTATTTAAATATTTATTTATACTTATCTATCTATAAAGTACGGATAGCAGAGTTTTTTACATCTTTCTTGGAAAAAGTATTTGTGAAAATATCTTTCTAATAAACATTAATTATGGTATAAAAATGAGGTAAAAGTAGAAATCTCGTAGTTATATAATAGTAGTTAGAACCTAACACTATGTGAATATAATTTTTTCATTTTGAAATATGTTTGTCATCTTGAAATTAAATTTCAGCTTTTATTTAAAAATTTAAAACCTAAATTATTCTAAAACTGAAAATGACAGTGTTAGCATATTATCTAAGCTTTATAGAATTGAAATTAAAAAATATGCGCATGTAAGAGTCCAGTACATATATTACATTGGGATGGCTAATTAGGTATACATGTTTGTATTTCACTCATCAACTATCAAAATCTCATCAAATATCAATATAAGCTATTTCAAGGAGACCGATTTATTAAGTATGCTTCAAAGAAGTTTTTGGAGCATTTCTGCAAAACATCATAAGTCTTTAATAAAGTTCTATAATTTTTCAAAAAAAGGAAAATATAAGGCAGGCACTCATTCATTTGTCCATGTCAAGGGATTCTTTAAGCACAATTTATACGACAGATTTAAATTAAAGCAAGGATTTGGACAGACAGTAAGCAAAAGCAAACGAGATAGCTAGCGTTCACACAATTACACACTCCCTTTGTCTTTTGTCCTTTCTAAACGAATAAATGCAATTGCGTAAATTTATGTACATGATTTCTTTAACATCATTTATGTACATGAAATTAAAGCTTCTAATATTCCGGTAGGTTCGCGTGTCCATCATAATTTAATTTGTGGTGTCATGAGTTCTTGAACAAGCGCAATCATATACAGATTTTTCTCGAAATGCAAGTTGGGTTTATCAAACAAAGAAACTAAAAAAAATCTGAAGAGTGGCTACAAAAAGGTTCCTCTCACAATTCCAGTTTATAATCTTTTTATTTTATAAATATCGTAACCAATAACATTTTTTTTCAAAAAATTGGTTATTTCTTCAATTGGTTTTTCATAGTGAAAAGGTGAAATTCATTTTTTAATCTGATTTCTTCTCTAGGATGGATATACTATATATTTTTAATAAATTTAAAATATATTTTTTATTTAAACCAATTTCCCCTGTTTCATATTATGTGTCATTATAGAAAAATTGTTTTTACAAAATAAGTAAAGTTTTATAATTTTAGTGTAAAATTTATTAACTTTATTTTATAATTTATTTTTCTATTAGTTAAAATATGGTAAAATTTTATAATTTCAATACAAAATTTTTTAGTTTTGTTCTATAGTTTATTTTTTATTAGTTAAAATATAGTTAGGTTTATAAAACATATAAAATTAAATGTTTTCTTCATTGTGTGCATAAATATAAAATGATATTCAAAATAAAATGGATGGAATATAAAGCAATTACTCAATCCATATTTGTCCATTATCACTTCATTAACATTTCAAATGTTTAATTATATATCGATCTTTAAATCACCCTCTAGCTATTTTTTAAACAGGGTAAAAAAGGGTTTAAGAGTTCGAAATATGTGAATAGTTTATCAGTTTTTACCTTTCTCCGAGATGGCAAACAATACAAAAAGTAGAAATTGACAGTTTTCGTTATGCAAATATAATAAACTAGAATACTTTAGGGAAATTATATCACTTTTTCTGATTTATTTTGGTCAACTAAACAAGCCAACTCTATAAATATTAAATACATTCATCACTTTGATCCCATAACCCAACTCTCTCACAACAACAAAAAAAAAATGGACTCGAGAACATCATTCCTCACATTTCTCCTCTGTATATTCCTTTTCTCTAATTTCGCCCCCTCAAATTCTAAACATATCACAAACGACCCTTTATCATTCTCTTCGTCCGCGAGTTTGCCCACTCTTACGGCAGAGAGGTTAATCAAAGGTTTCAACTTGATGCCTACACGTGACGTCAATGTCATCCCTGAAAACGGTTTTGAGGCTCCGAGACTAGTCGAGAGAAACTTTGATTTGCCGGCGGCCATTGACCGCCGTGACTCCGCCGGTTCTCCTCCTTCTCTTCAGGATTTTGGTCACCATGCTGGTTACTACAAGCTTCCTAATTCAAAAGCAGCCAGGTAACTTCCAGTTTTGCTGTAACCGTTAAACCATGAATAAACCGGTTCAACCATTCTGGTTTAAATTTTTCAAAAAAGTTAAAAAACAATTTCTTGACAGGATGTTCTATTTCTTCTTCGAGTCAAGAAGCAACAAAGCCGATCCTGTGGTGATTTGGCTAACGGGTGGACCCGGTTGCAGCAGCGAGCTTGCTCTTTTCTATGAGAACGGACCGTTCACCGTCTCCAACAACTCATCCCTTGCTTGGAACGATTTCGGTTGGGACAAGGTTGGTTAGAAAAATGGTCAACCGAAACACGTTTTCTCATCCCAACAAGAAACCAATAATCTCAACCACTTGTTTTTAACTTCTTTTGATTTTAATATTTAGCTTCTTTTAATTTAATGTTTAGGCATCAAATCTAATCTACGTGGACCAACCGGTCGGGACTGGTTTTAGTTACACATCGGACGAAAGTGATCTCCGACATGATGAGGATGGTGTCAGTAATGACCTTTACGACTTCTTACAGGTTCAGTTTCAATATATTCCCTGCTGTTCCATCACATAAAAAAATGTTCTTGAAATCCTTTCTTTTTCTTCTTAATATTGCTGTTGCTTTCTCTGTAGGCCTTTTTCAAAGAACATCCGCAATTTGTGAAAAATGATTTTTACATCACCGGTGAATCCTACGCCGGACATTACATTCCGGCATTGGCATCAAGAGTTCACCGTGGAAACAAGAACAAGGAAGGAACTCACATTAACCTTAAGGTGAAAAAACACTTCATCCCGTTTTTTTTATTCTTTGTTAAATTGTTTAAGCCTTTTTGATTATACCGCATTGCTAATAAACCAATCCGGTTTACATCAGGGCTTTGCCATTGGTAACGGGTTGACCAACCCAGAGATCCAGTATGCTGCATACGCGGATTACGCGCTAGATATGAAGTTGATCTCACAATCTGACCACCATAACCTTAATCGTGATTATGAAGCTTGTCAACAATCCATCAAAGAATGCAGTAAATATATCTCAACCTCTTTCTTTCTTTAAGACAAAAAAACATTGAAAAGATTTTCTTATGTTTAGTAGATATTTCCTTTTTTTTAACGCGAGTTCTTAATCTTAGGCGCTGATGGTGGTGAAGCATGTGCGTCTTCATACATTGTCTGCAACAACATATTCCAAAAGATCATGAATATAGCTGGAAACGTTAATGTGAGGCATTAAACATAATTCAAAGAATGCATTAAACATAATTCAAAGAATGTCTTAAGGTAACTTACAAGACTTTTCCCCTATTCTTTTTGAAGTATTACGACGTGAGGAAACAATGCAAAGGAAGCTTGTGCTATGATTTCTCGAACATGGAGAAGTTCTTGAACCAAAAATCCGTTCGCAAGGCATTAGGTGTGGGAGATATCGAGTTCGTGTCTTGCAGTACGGCGGTCTATGATGCAATGCAGCTGGACTGGATGCGGAATCTTGAGGTCGTTATTCCAGCTCTGCTTGAAGATGGGATTAAGATGCTTATCTATGCTGGAGAATATGATCTCATCTGCAATTGGCTTGGTACGTCGAGCATGCTAACCGTAGAGCATGCAATCAAGAACTCACTATATTTGTCTCTACACAACCGGTTAAGCTGAGATTGATAGAATATGTTGTTTATGTACTTTACAGGAAACTCGAAATGGGTTCACGAGATGGAATGGTCAGGCCAAAAAGATTTTGTAGCAGCTTCGACGTTTCCTTTCCATGTAGATAATAAAGAAGCCGGTTTAATGAAGAATCATGGTTCACTCACTTTCCTCAAGGTAAACCAAACAAAATAAAAAACATAAACCGAACCTAATCCCATTGACAAAATGTAACTTAATTGAAATGGAGAAAACATTTTACAGGTCCACGATGCCGGACACATGGTTCCAATGGATCAGCCAAAAGCAGCATTGCAAATGCTTCAGGATTGGACGCAAGGAAAGCTCGGTACACCCACCGGTCGAACCGCTCGCCAATGATTTCATTTCTTCTCAACATCATTGATTCCAGATACTAAACCGATTGTACTGTTGTTATTATGTATCTAGACTAGATACTTGTGAATTATTATTTCTATAAACTATATTGTTATTAAAGGTAAAAAGTAAAGTTCCTATGTTGAACACTCTTTACTCTGTTACAAAGATTTGACTGTTCCAAGTTTTAACCAAACCTAAGATGACACAGCGTGTGAAGTTTAACGATGACCCTCATAAGAACGATCATGATAATCTTTGTCATCATCAGCATCATAATCATCAAGAATGAGTGTAACACCATTGTTCTTTAGTGAGTTAATAACAGCCCATACCTTGGTTCGACTTTTGAACCCTTTCTTCTCAATTTCTTTCTTGACATCGGCATGGATACCTCTTCCTTGCCCATCTTGGAGCCCTTCCACTTTCAACCTCATCGCCAACACCTCTCCCACAATAGCAGCAGCTTTGGCATTGCAAGTACGACCACACTCTAGCGAGTTCTTGATTGCATGCTCTACGGTTGAAGCTGTTGTGACTACTCTCCCGTTGTTTCTGTCAACTACGTTTGCTGTTATGTACTTGATGGACATGAAGAGCCTCAAGACGTACCTTTTGAGAACTGTCATTGACTCTACCAAAAACCTGCTGGGTCTAGAAAATGCACAAGAAACATTAAAAATTGTCAGCACTGAAAACGAACAGAATTGAGCTGAAAGGTTCAAAAAACATATCCTACAAAATATCATTTACAAGATATTGCTGTATGGATGTCTGTCCATAAAACAGCAAAAGTTGTTAAACAAAGATACTAAGTGTAAGAGTCAGATAATTCATTTTCAATACAAAAAAAAAAAAAAACTGTTATGATAATGAGAATACAGAAAATGATAAAAGGATTGTAATTTTTCATTCTTTTCGTCACCAAGGATCAAGTAATCGCCATGTAGATGAGAGATGTGTTATAAGTATCACATACTGAAACACTTCACTAAAATCAGAAACTATGGATCAATAAGATTCTTATAAACTCAGAAGAAACCAAATCTGTATTTTAATCTCAGAAGTTCCATCTTTTTCATCTTCCCCAAAGACTGAATCATACAAATCGAATCTAATGCACAACTTACAATCCGTAACCTAGAAGCTTCAAAAATGATGAAACTAATGCACATAAGTCATCAATTAACAAACTAGAGAAGCGAGATGAAAGTTCACCTCGAAGGAAGATATAGTAAATCGATTTTCTTTGATTTGGATTCAAATTCGTTCTGATTTGGGGACACTCAGAAATTAAACTTCTCAATAGGGATGTTAAGAATAATCAATCATAGCAATAAATAAGCTTGAGCTTGTACAGCTGGCCTTGGATTCATCTTGAGAAACACTCTCGAATCACTAAAACAGAACATCACTAACCTTCTCACTCAATGCTCAACGAGTAACCTTCTCAAGTTTTGCGTTAGAATGCTTTTGAAGATCAATAGCTTCCTGTCATATGGTTTAGAAGCAAGTTGACAATGTTAGTACATTCCAGATATAAGATAATTCCAGCATAAACCCAAGTGAATAGAGATCTCTTGATCAACAAAAGCATATCAAGTTTCAGAATTACATTCTCAAACACATTAACAAGCATAAACCCAAGTGAATCTATAGATCTACGAAAAAGAAAAACCAACACATACAAGATCGAGGCGGCGAGATGAGATCTTCAAGCTCCTTTCATGGCGAGAGAGAAGCTTAGGGGGTGTTATTGGGTTGAAGTGATTTTGATTGTAGTATGTTTTAATTCTTATGGACTTTAATGGAGTTCTGTGTAAAATAGTTTTAGCAAAAAAAAAAAAATTAGATACGATGATGATAAAGGAATATTCGTTGTAACTTATTATTTGCCAATGACCAAAAGGAAGATCTTTCACGGAGCAGGTACTGGCCAATTTTTAGTTACTTATTATTTGCCTTGATTTGTTCAAGTATTTTCATTTTACTTATATTAGGATAAGACTTGCGACTTGATAAATGTATGTAACTAAAATATAAAATTTTGATATTGACAAATTTAAAATTTATATATGAATGTTTTTATATGTATTTGAAATTTAGAATTTTTTTATATAATTATCTATACGTAGGATCATAAACAATTGTAATTAGAACTGTATATCAAAACTTAGAATTTAATGGACCCGATTTCATATAAATTTTTCAGAAGTAATTTAATATAATTTATTTATTTGACTAATAATATTAGAAAAGTATATTTTTTTACAAATTATATATTCATTAAAAAATAATTTTATAAAAAATTAAGTTAAATTTTAATTTATTTTTAAAAACAATATTTTAAGTTTTTCAAATACAAATAAATAATTTAATATTAATTATGGTCATGATTTAACATGAACATAATGATTTAAAAAATTTAGAAATTAACCAAGTAAAAATTAACTCAATTTTAAATCATGATTAAACAATTTAAAAATTAATTACGGTTATGTGAAGTTTACGTTCTTGTGTCAATCTTATTTCTCTTTAATTTTTTCTCTTTTTGTGTTTTTATTTTATTTTAGTTATTACTCGATATAAATATTTATTTTGAAGTTTATTCTCATTTCGTTTGTTTGTTTTGACCTGGGATTTAGAAAATACTTAAGATTTAAATAATTAAAGAGATACATAGTTAGGTTAAGATCTGCACTTTTTCTACATATTATAAAATAATAAAATACTAAATATATATATATATATATATATATATTAATTAACTAAGAAAGCCGTAACTATTATCAAGTACTCCTCTCCAGGCGGTTCAGTCTTTCCATTTTTTCCGGATTCGAGTTTATCGGGAATCTTCCATTTATCTCGATCCTTCTTTTTTTCCCGCAGAAATCTTCTATTTATCTTCAAACTTTTTCTTCTGCGAGTAAACCATCAAAACGTTATCTTATCTTCGGGTTAGATTTCGTTAAGATTGAGAGATAGACTTTTATCGCGTTTTAAGACCTTTCAGGTCGTTTTACGATAAATCCGTTTTACGACTTTATACGAGATCGTTTCCTGATCCGATGCCGTTTTTAGTAAATTCCCCGAGTTAATCTTAAAGTTTAGTTACGTTCGTTTCTTGGTTAATCGTTGTCATTTTTTACGATTTTCTTGACGTTTCTATTAAAAACGCGTTTTTTATGATTTTAACAAAAAATCTCGAATAAATCGTATAGTTTAGGCAATTTTCGGTGTCTCGTTTAACCGTTGCCGTTTTATATGATTTCCTTGAGTTCTTTCCGAGAAAACAAATTTTTATGGTTTTTATCGTAAAACTCAAATGATAGGTCGGATCGAGACGAAACGGGAGACATTTCGACCGTGGTTCGGAACACGACCGTGTCGAACGACATAAGCACTGAATTGGGGATGCGGGAGATCGAGGCTCGGGATGGTCGGTTCGACGTACGGTGAACCGAGCCGGACTGGTCCAGCTCGCTGGTCGGCGAATTGTCCGAGAAGCTTCTAGTTTGCCCAACGGCGAACTAAGCCGGGACGAGACTAGTTCGCCCAACGGCGAACTAAGCCGGCCTTATTTCGCTGTTGGGCGAACTAGTCTGAACGAGAATAGTTCTCGATTTACGGCGGTTTCAGTTTTTTTCGGTTTTGTGCTTAACTCGGACGATCGTGTAATCGACGTTTGTTTCGTTTTTCCGAGATAACGATCTTCCGAGTTTTCCGAGGATTTCCCTTGTTCGGAAATCTCTTTTGGATTTATAAAACGATTCTTCGAGTTTTATAAAACGATTCTTCGAGTTTTATAAAACGATTCTTCGAGTTTTATAAAACGATTCTTCGAGTTTTATAAAACGATTTCTCGAGTTTTATAAAATGATTCTTCTAGTTTTATAAAACGATTCTTCGAGTTTTATAAAATGATTTTTCTAATTTTATAAAATGATTCTCGAGTTTTATAAAATGATTCTTCTAGTTTTATAAAACGATTTCTCGAGTTTTATAAAATGATTCTTGCGGAAAGCAATGATTCCATCTTTTACAGAAGTTAGCGTAGACGTTGATTTCGATATTGCCGGCAATAAGATCAATGGATGAGTCTATTTAGCGACTGCTATTAGATATGTCTAAGAATCGAAGTTCTCATATATCTTGCAAGCAATTCGTTAAAACATCTGTAGCATTATAATCCTTATTATCTGAATAGCAACCTTGAATCTAACTACTTTCTTTTATTGTTTTAAACCAAAACCTATTCTCTTGAGCAACTTACCATTGTTCACAAACTACAATTTATTATTTTAAACCTAATCAACCTAGCATAATAACTTAGGATTAAATCTATTGTGTTTCTTAGTTCCCTGTGGATTTGATCCCTAAGTACTACAACTGAACCTCTTATTTGAGAGAGTAATTCACTTCTTAGGGTTAAACATTTGAGTGATATCACGTATCGTCGGGATTGGCTCGGTTAACGATGTCCCCACAGCGACATCGTCTTATGCTCAGGAACAGCACGATGTCAATGCTCATGTGAGTTCGCTCACCGAGCACGTGAGTTCTCTCACCGATGTCCTCGACATTTTTAACGGTTGGAAACCCGCAATTGGCGGAGATGTTGCGTCAGAGACGGAAAATGGTAGGGCTTCCAACCCAACAGTCTCCACCATCACAGTCACAGTCGGCCCCAAATTTGGAGAGGAGGAGGATTTGGCGAGCCAGGACGATTTCGTTCAGCAAATTAATGAGCAACATCCATAGTTTTTTTTTATTTTTAATTGTACATTATTATTTTTAAAACTTAATTGTATATTATTTAATTATTTATAAAATAGTTTGTTTTTATTTTTTATTTATAATTTTTTTTTAAATATATTATTTATATTTATAATTAATATTTTTTAATAGGGAAACAAAATAATTCGAAGCAAAATCCTCGTAAAGGTTTCGAAGTAATGTCCTCGTAAATTATTCTAGTAAGTTCCTCATAATGAATTACTACGAGCTTACAAGGAAACTATTTACTATGACATTACGAGCAAACCCTAAGAGGACCTTACGAGGAAAAGCTAACCATGCGTTTACGAGGAAACGTTTCCTCGTAAATTAGCTAGGACCTTACGAGGAAAAAGGCTTTACAATGAACGTGTTTCGACGAAACGCTTTTCCTCGTAAGTTCCTAGTAAATGGTCATTTACTAGGAAATAACGAGGAAAACTCGTCCTAGTAAAGGACGAGTTTTCTTGTAGTGGAAGCTTCGGTAAGAACTTCTGTGAATGCTCTAAAGAGTAAAAGGTGGAAGGTGGACACGGCGCCGAAGATTCGCATATTTATGTGGAAGGCACTTTCAAATGCTTTGGTGGTGAGTGATGAGCTTCTGGCTAGAGGGTTGAAAATCGATCCCAGATGTGAAAGATGTGAAAATCAATCCCAGAAGAAGAATCTATCAACCATGTTTTGTTTGCATGTCCTGCGGCAAGGCTTATTTGGGCACATATGGGATTTCCTTTTCCAATGATAGGTTTTGAGAATATGAGTATGTTTGAAAATTTTAACTACCTGTTATCGATTGAGAAATCAAAGGATGCCCCTAAAATAAGCGTCAATCGGGTGACGTTCTAGCCGCGCTACTAGATTCGCTCATGATGCCTGCTAAACGCGTATCTTAAGCGTCAATCAGACGACGTTCTAGCCGCGCTACTAGATCCGCTCATGGTGCCTGCTAAACGTGTCCTTAGCAGACGACGTTCTAGCCGAGCTACTAGATCCGCTCATGGTGCCTGCTAAACGCGTTCCTAGCAAACGTCC